CCCCCCCCACGTGTTCGATCTCGGAAGAGTGCAGAGGGGATCGCAAGTCATAAGAAGCTTAAGGGTTCTTTTTGCCTGTCTTGATAGTTTGTCCCTCGTATGCTGAATAAAAATTTGACAGCGTCATTTTTGTCGGGGCTCTAATGTTGTCTAACCAGCTCTTCTTTCTTTCGTTCTTTTTTAACCTTTTTAAAATTCTTTCTCTCCACGATGCCTTACATGGTTAAAACAAAAAAGATTTGATTTATCTTGACAGATGTATATCTTTTCCCCTTTCTGTTAATTATAGTGCATGGCGGGGTGGAAAAGGGGGAGGGGAATAGGGGCAGTAATTTGCCAGTTTGATGCACTGTATAACAAAATAACCTGTCGAACTAGTAAACTTTCGTTCTAGTGTTACAGGATATAAACAAGAAACTTAAACCCAGCCTACCGAAAGTATGAAGCTGTCCATCCTGTAAGTTTGAATTCCCCTCTGCTATCTTTTCCTGTAGAAAACGTCAGGGCCTGCCGTCTTTTGTGTAGTAGATCTATACAAAGAGGTTACAATAGTACTACTTATAACCTCTTTGGCAGAATACCAATAAACCTTTTTATCTAGCAAAAAGTTCCTCACTCTGTGAGTTTCTTTTTATAGTTTTTAAAAGTTCATTTTTTGCTTTTGGTTTGTTTGTTTTTTGTTGTTGTTCATTTTTAGGGGGGGGGGGTTATTTTGGATTGTATTTCTTTCTTAGATTGGGTTGTTTTGGAATGTTTGTGTTTGTTTGTGTTTTTTGTTTGTTTGTTTGTTTGTTTGTTTTTTCAACAAAGAACATCTAGAAAAATTGATTTATTTTATAGTACACGTTTTGAATTTTCCATCCCGCCTGCATATTCTGAACATTCCTTTCATCTTTGTCTTGGTTTTTTTTTGGACTCCAGCGGTGAGCGTCGAGATGTTCGTCCCGGTGCGCCGTCAGAACCTAACGAGTACAATTTCAACTTCAAGAAGCGCGGCCTGTTCCTGCTCATCAACAACCGCCACTTCACAGACGACACTGGTCAACCGCCGCGCGAGGGCAGCGACGTCGATGCAGAGAGGTTGGAGGAACGATTCCAGGACTTGGGTTTCGAGGTGCGGCGTTATGATGACGTCACCTGCGCTAAAATGACGTCACTTTTGTATGACGGTAAGCTGAGGAACAGATGTGGAGGGGTTTAAAAAAAGGGGGGGGGGGATCATGGAAATCTTTCGACTTCGGTATTAGCAAAAACGCTAACGTTGCGAGAGCCGTAAAACTCTCATCAAAACAAAATTAAAAGGTATAACATCTTCTTGGTTACTCTTTCGTAAGAGGTTGGAAGGGGGCGCGCCGTTATCTCAGTTGGTAGCATGCTGGACTACGGCGTAGATGACCCGGGTTTGAATCACTTACAGGGCGTTCTGAAGTGGAGCTATTTTTAGAAGTTTTTAGGTCATCCGCCCTTTTGGCTCAGTCCTGTTTGAGATGGGCGTTACAATCGGAGGTCCCCACTCTCAGATAACCTTAAAGTGTTGAAACGGGTGTTAAAGCTATAAAATTTGGCATTTTTCGTCGAAGTTGGAAAATGGTTGATATGGCTACGCATGAATCATTTATTTTTCACTTCACCCTTATGAAGTACTTATCCATACGTAGGCCTAGTATTTTTCAAATACCCATCCATACAGGCATTTAAGTCAGTGGTTGGAGGGTGCCTGCAGAAGGTCTCATATTTCTTCTCTTTCCCTCTATTGTTTCTTCCTCTCTGCATTTCACTTTTCCTGCACCAGATGGCCTTTACATTGTCAATGTGCTTCTGTTTTCTAAAACAAACACCCCTTGAAATGTATGATTGATCGAAAAAATGAGTTTCAGACATCAGACGTTCGTTAGTTCTCATCGACCTTACTGCAAAGCAATCTCTGGAATGCCCGCCTCCTCCAATTCATGAGGATACTCAAAACAAAACAAAAAGGATACAAGGTGCATGCATATTATTGACGCGAGAGTATCTATGGATAACCTCGCCTCGGTGTATATCAATGCAATGGCTTGTTTTAACCCTTTCGCTTTACAACCCAACAAAGAGGTCATTTCAGTCTCGGAGCTAATAGTGGAGGGGTTAATCCAGTTTACTGCCAGGCCCAAGAACTTGAGTACTTGAGAAGGTCCTAGAGTAAACGTACATTCGTGCATTTCATATTATGTTTTAGTTTTTAGGCATAGACATTCGTCATAGACTCCTTTTTTTTTCTTTTTTTTTTTCTTTTAGCCATTAGTTTGTTAACCTTGCCCCCCCCCCCCCTCCCATCTCCCTCGCCCCCCTTCCCTCAAACCGAAAGTCTGGTAACCACCATAACAGTCTCCCCCCAACAACGTAAGCGATGGTGAGCTGATCTCGCGGAGACGATCCTTGTTTGCAGAGCACTACCCTGCCCTCCACACTCCCAAACTCGTTTATTTTCTCCTTAACCACTCGAACCTAGTGACTTGAGTCAAGCTGTTACCGTGTGTTTCTTGGAAACTGCGTCAAAATTGTGAAGTGACCAAAAATAATTGTGTGTGCGAGTGGGGGAATGGACAAGAGTTGAGGGGGTGGAGGTGGAAGGGGGGGGGTGGCGGTATTCTTTCTAATGCTGTTTAAGTTCCTCTAATTGTATGCGGCAACACAAATACGAAGCTCAATAACAATCCGTTTAATTTTTATATCCAAACGGTCGCCAACCCATTAAACTATTTAAATAATATGATTATTCATCTAGCCACTTATCTACTATTTAATACTATAATGTTTCAATTGTTTAAAAAACATGCCCCAATATTACCCAGCTTATCGGGCTATTAATCAGTCAGTGCATCAGTCAATTTACCTATAGCTCAATTAATCAACCTGTCAATCAATAGATCAATCAAGCAAATTGTCGTTTCAAAAACCTCCAATAAATTAGAACAATTGCTGGGAGAACGAATTAGTCCCTCCAGAACCTAGCCATTGTCATACAAGACAAAAATAGACGCTCTTGGAGTGATTCAATTACCTCGCCCTTGCAGATGCTCAAACTGTCACGCTGGTAAATCCTCTGGGCTAATTGATAGACTGGCTGATCTTCTGGTAGGAAATTATGAGAGAGGGCAGATCGTTTTGGGTCACGGTCTTGTGAGGAGAAGTGGAAAAAGATGGGGAGGGAGAGGGGGGAGGAGGGACCGGTGTAGACATGGGGAACAAGGTGGGGAGGGGAGGAGAGGGAGGAGGATGATATGGGGAGGAGGGGGAGGGGCCGGTGTGTAGAGTGAAGAGGGAGGGGAGAAAGAGGAGGAGGAGGGGTCGGTGTGAAGAGGGGGAACACGGTGGGGAAGGGGAGATGGAGAAGGAGGAGGAAAAGGTGGAGGAGGAGGGGAGGGGAGGGGCGGTGTGGAGTCCGGGAAGGAAAGGGAACGGTAGCCCTCAATGAGATTACGTCCTCTCCAGCTTGATGAACACGGCTGACGATCCCTGATTGAACATCGATTTTCTCATTCCCCCCTTCTCTCACGTCTCTGAAGTCTCCTTACGACCCCATCCCTCATTCATCCCCCCCCCAACCGTCTCCCCTCCCTCCCTCCATCCCTTCTCTCCATCTATTCTCCTCCCCCATCCACACCTTTTTTTCGATCTATTATTCTTCCTCTATCAACAATACATTCGTTTCTCCCCTCCCCCTCCCCTTTTACATTTCTCACGCTACCTCCCTTTTCTCCCTTTTTATCATCATTCCGTCTGCTCTCGTCCGTCTGCTCTTTTACTTCCTCTATCCCTAACCCTTCACTCAACCTTTCCTCCCCCCCACCCCCCAC